TGAGGCAAGCCCCATGTAAACAAATATAACAAAGGGGTACAATCCAAACACACATGAGAGGAGAAAATAAGGTTTTAATTAAATAACGAGACCTAGACCGTACCTCAATATGAAATAGGGGATTGATTTCAATTGGATAAAGAAAAAAGAAGTCTTAACCAACATGCGAGACCTAGATCATACCTCAATACAAAATAGGGGATGGGTTTCAACCGTATAAAAGAGAAAAAGGTCTTCTTAACCAACAAGCGAGACCTAGAATATACCTCAATACGAATAGGGGATGGTTTTCAACCAGATAAAGGAGAAAAATTGTAACCAAAATGTTTGAACAATTCAAGTGATGTGAATGGATTGTAACCAAGAGATGCAACAACGTGACAATTGTAACCATGCATGATAGATGTAATACATAGTGCAAGTGTGATGGTGAATGCAAAAATACGAAGGGGCAATGTGAGACATACAATATGCAATATGATATGATGCAAACATAATATGAGGGATGCACAACAGATGAATATACAAAATGATTTTTTTGGTTTTCAAAATTTTCTCTCTTTTTTTTTTGAAAATTTCTTTTTGAATTTTTTTTTTGAAATTTATATACACACCATATATATATATATATATATATGGATACAAATGATATACAAAATACGTATTACATATATATACATACACATACAAAAAAAAAATATATATATATATATATACGGACACATACAAATGATATACAAAATATGTATTACATACGTATACGGACACAGACCAATGTAAATATACGGATACATACATATACATATATATATACGGACACATACGGATACACAGACATACGAATATATATACATATACATATTATATACACACACTCTCTCTCCTCCCCTGTTTTTGTCTCTCTCTCTGCCTCTTTCGGTTTTGTCGAGCATTATGTCCGGCGTGCAATTTCAACAATCACGGCGCTTGACCGACAGCAGCTGAATTGACCTCCATTTATCAAAGATTGCCTCGGCAATCCCTTTTCTTTGGCTTCTTCTTTTTTCAACTTCTTCTTAAACTGAGCTCTGCGACAGAGTAGAGTAGAAAGCTGCAAACTCTCTCTACCATTACTCTGTAAATTTTCTCTTTGGAGGCATTACTCTCCTCTAACATGGCCTTTTCTCACTGTCATCTCACTCTCTTCCTTGACCTTAACGATTCCCCAATCGAGATTGTTAACACCAGCTCCTCTGAACCTCGATAGAGTGCCTCTGCCCCTACCCATGTTTTTAGCTTTCCTGCGCTATTAGTCGAGCAACTGATGGCAACACAGTCCGACATTGATGCCAACCACTACACATTGAAGTCCTGTGTAGAGACCGTAACCATGGTCTCTAATTTGTCTCGTCAGTTGCAAGGTAGGACAAGTGAAGTACACCAACTAAACGCACAACTCTCCCTGCTCTAACGTATGTACAAGGATGCTTGCGAAGAAATTAGTAATTTAAAAAAAAAAACTAAACAAGAAGCTGAAACAACAGGCGACCTCTGCTACCCGATTTGGAGCTCCTTGGTGCTCCTCATTTGACGGCCCGCAAGTAGTAATCTCTTTTGGGAGCTTTGCCAATGCTGAGACAAAGTCTTCAAGGGCTTCTCAAGAGTAATGATGTGGTGAGGCAATTGACGGTAAAGTTGAGCGATGAAGTTGTCCACAAATGAAGTTGGTTATCTTCGCCACCAAACTGCTGTCAGAATTTAAGAAAAAGTCTATCCCTCTGTTTTTTTGTATTTTTAATTTTCCTTTTATTGTCTTTTATTCTTTTTTGTTTTATATTTTTGCTTAGGAAGGAGCACCAATGCTTCAGATTTTTCTTTTTGTTACTCTTGAAATTTTCATCTCTTTTTTTTTGGGTTTTGTTTTGTTTAGTTTAGTTTAATTTCTTTTGTAATACTGATCGGGGCTTCACCCTGAATTTTCAATAAAAGAAGTTTCATTGTTTGCACATTATGGCGTGAATGGCGCATCATTTAAGTATGAAAACATTTTGTTCTTGAATTTAAATATGAGAATGATTGAATTTCAATGAGTTCTGAACTGGACATCGAGCCTCAACTGACCAAAAATCAAAAAATGACTCAATGAAAGAAAAAACAAAGCAAGAACAATCCAAACACACCTATTTACAGTTACTGGAATGAAAGACACTCAAAATGCGACTTGAAAGGACAAACCATTGAGTCTATGCAACTTCTATAGTTTTCCATTATGGATTAATATCGAAAATAGCCAGCTGGCTAATTGATTGGCCGATCGGCTGATTTGTTGTCCAACCAAATGAAAAAATTGACGGGCTGGCTGATTCGTTTAGCGCCCAGCTGAATGAACTGATGAACTGATTGGAAAATTGGCTAGCTGGCTAAACAAGTGGCCGCTTGACTAAAACAATGAACATATAGGAATGAATCGATAGAAAATAATTTAAATAGATAAAAAAATTAACGTTTCAATAGATAACATTTTTTGAATAGAAAAGTTTCAAAAAAAATAGATTTTATTTGGATAGATATTTGAACAGATAAGGAGAATTTAAATTGAAACAGATTAAAAAATTAAATAGATAAGGTAAAAAAAATTGAATAGATAAGAAAAAATTTAAACAGATAGGAGAAATTTTTGAACAGATAGGAAAATTTTTGAAGATATAATTAACAAAAGTCAATAGATAAAAAAAAGCCAACAGATAAATTAAAGGGTAAAATTGAAATCAAAATGTCCTTTAAAACAAACAAAGGACTTCTCACCAAACCATTTCACAAAATGTGGACCTCTCACTAACAAAAAATATCCATTAAACCTAATGTCTTATACCTTTTTTAGGTTGAACTTTTCAACAATTAGCTCTTTAATATATTATACTGCTTGGTGTACATATCACCAATTAATTTTCTTATTTTGTTTTATGTTTTTATTTTTTTAAATGTAGCTTCTTCTTCTTCTTTTCTTTTTCTTTATTTCTTTGGGTCTTGTTAACAAATACCACTAGGATATAAGTAAATGAATTTTTTTTTGGAAGAAAATAAGACACTTTTCACTAAATTCAATATACTTTTATTGAAATCAATACACTTTCTTACTTTTTTACATATTTTCAATACACTTTATGCACACTTTCCAACATTAAACAATGCATAAGGGCACTTGTTAGCATTTGCCCTTTTGTTTTGGGGATTTTGTTAAAAAGTGAGAATTTGTTAAGAATTATAGCAATTTGGGCTTAAACCCGACCCATTTATTGCCTTTAAATTTGGTAAACCATATCCGTAGCGGTCATTCATCTCTCTTTATGTTTGGTTTTGGCTTTGAGGTTCGACACCATTCTTGACACTGCCTTCCATTTCTTGTTTTGTTTGGCTCCTAGGGTCGACACTCGTCGTGGTGTCGACACCACCTTGTTGCTATGTTCTTGGTAGAGCTATTGAAATTTGGGGTTGACACTAATCTGGGTGGTGTCGACACTATCTTACTGCTTAATCCTAGAAATCGCTACTGAAAAATAGGGTCGACATCATGAGTTCCAAGGGTTGACCCTTCCCTTGCTGTTTTATTCTGTATTGTCTACTGAAAAATAAGATCGACACCATAGGTTCCTACGGTCGACCTTTGTCTGCAGCCAACTTTTGTGTCTCATCTTTTTCTTTTTGAGGATCGACACCATTGTCGGTTGACCCCTGTGAGTCATTTCCCGTTTTTTGTTCGGCTTAGGCCTTACTGTTTGAGAATTTTTGACTTATTCTTTTCATTGGGCTTTGGAGCTATTATTCTATTAATACCTAGTCACTATAAATAGACCTAAAAGCACTTTTCTCTCATTAGTTACTTCTCTTTTCCCTCTCTAACCGTGACTTCTCTATTTTCTCTCAAAACTCAACTCTTCTCACTTAGATTTTCAGATCTACTCACCTAGAGGTACCTTCCCATATTGGTCTTTTGAAATAGATTGTAAATCGTCTTAAGGACTTTCTTTTGATCTAAGAGGTTTGTAGTTTCACCAACGTTGAGTTTTTCTGAGTTTTTCTCTTCCACCCCTCTAAGCTTGAGGTAGGGATTCTTCGCACTTTCTTATGATTTTTAACTTAGTTATATGCTATTTCTAAAACAATATTGTGAAAAAGTGAATTTTTGAATGACCTAGGGTTTTGGCTTGATAACAACAGAGGGGTTTTCAAATGGTTTATCGAAAGTAATTGTGGATAGATAATTAATATTGAGATATGATGAAAAGATGGATTTTTACCTTGGGAAATGGTTTATAAAGAAAAGAGGGTTTTTGCCATAGGAATCTCAAATGTTGATTTTGTTTTGATAAATGGAGTTGATGTTGATGAGGATGGTGGAGTTGAGTATATATTACCACTCACATCTTGAAATTTGAAAAGTTTATCTTTATGAAATTTATTTAATTGTTTCGAGATATCTGATTTGGGTTATCGGTGGAAGATAATTATGATTGCTGTAGAAATTGCATGAGAACTAAGTGAATTGAAACTATTTTCTCATCCATTTGCATTGGACATTGTTGCATATTATCACATTGAAAATGTATATTGTTTTGAGAAAAAAGATAAATACTTGGTGAATTTGGGTAAGAGGTGTGGTTATAATGTTAAGTTGGACTATGTGTCCTCGGTAAAATACCATAAACCCGTGCGGTTAGGTGTCGATCCTTTTGATTAATACCGATAAAAATGACAAATTGGTAATATTTGTATAATCTACTTGCAGACACGTACCTAGAGATTCACAAAGTTGTATTCATAATCCTGTTTTCTATTGAAAAGGAAATGTTTTATGAATTGTGATATAAATTTGGCATTGCATGGTTTTGAAAGAGATATAAAATGTTTTGGTATGAGCATTGCATATGCATTTGCCGTATAACTTTGTTAAGGTTCATATACTGTGTTGGATTATTTCTACTAGGTTTTGGCTCATTTTTTGTGGGGAAAACAATTTTTAGGTGCTAATGATATGTCTTCGCCAAGGCAATAGCTTGGGAGGACTTGGGAGCAAGAGTTTCATTTTGTTTCTTTTGTTGTATTTATTTGTATAAGCCTAGGGCTTTAACTGTATTAGATTTATGTCCATTTTGTTGTAACTAAGTATTGTCTTGGAAAGCTATAAGCCTTGAGGGCATTTCTTATTTGCTTGATGTTCATTATATTATATAACATATGCTATAGATTTAGGGATAGGCTTGTGAATGTATATCTATATATGTTACTCTTTTGTAAACTTAATTGAAAACTAATGAAAGATAATTACTTATATATGTGTTATTATTTAATGAATATGATGGATGGTTTAATGTCTTTTGTTTATAGACGTTACAAGAATGTATTAAATAAGAGTAATTACCCCTATCATAGAAAGAAGCAAGTATTATAAATGCATTGTATTAAATAATATATTTTTTCTTATTGTGATTGAAATACCTTTTTTTTTTTTTTTATAATAAATTTCTCTTTATTATTATTACTATTTTTAAGGGTTTGGCTTATTTTAAGTTGGTCATCTCAACTTGAAAGAACATTTAGGCTTAATATGCTCATTGTAATAACCCGATCCTCGTATATGATTTTGGTATCTTTTCAGTCCTCTCTTCTGTGCTTTTGAATGTTTATTGAGAAATTCTATGTGAAATTTCGTTGAACTAAGTGAAACATGGAAATATGGGTTCCTATCTTTTTGAGAAGAACATTATCTGTCACACTTAGAATGTTTAAGTCTGAAATTGAAAGCCTTAGAGGCTTAGTTGTCTGAAATTGATTTAAGATTTGGATTCGGCATGATTTTTAAGCTATAATGGGCTTTTCTGTGAAATTTCAATTTGGGATGTTTAAACGATTGAATTTTGTCTTTAGTTGTCTTTTAATATACATATATACTTATGTCTCTTACATGTTGAGTCAAGGATCTTGTTTAAAATATCTTCCAAGAGAAGGGTTTAGAAGAGAGGGTTAGAGAAGATCAACAAGGAAGAGAATTTAGGAAAATTGAGAAGTTCCTTGGAGATTGAAGTTCAAGGTGAGATTAATCCATCTAGTTTCCTCCTTTTCTTGCTTTGGAGTAGAACTCCCTTTGGTGTTGTGTGACTTAGAGTTGTAATGGAAGTTTTAAGTGTGGAGGTTGAGGAATTAAAATGTTAATCTCATCATTCATTTCTTTTCCTTTAATTTGAGTGATCTAGTGAGAAGATGCATCTTGTTCTCTTACCAAGTTACATTCACCTTTATGATCATGGTGTGTGTGTGTGTGAAGATGGAATTGCATTATGTTTATGAACTCAAGATTGATGAACTCATAATAGATTGATGTATGTGTATGATTATTGTGTGTAAATGTAACTTTATTTACATGATTTTCCAGACCTATTGGAAGTATTATTATCATTTACAAAAAAATTGAGTTTTGGGTGGAATTTTGGACGGAAATGGTGCAGAATCGCCGCACGTGCGGGAGTCACAGCCGCACGTGCGACGAAATGGAAAAAATTGGAGTTTGGTTTTGTCTAAAAGGCACGTGCGGGAGGATTTTGCCGCACGTGCGGCCCAAGCTGAAAAACTTGGGACGCTCCGTTTTGCGTGCTGAACCCTCTACTGTTGTTGGAATCTGCATTTGATATTAATTTGATATCTGTAAATTCAGTCAAAGTAATGTACGTCAGGAAGCGAATGAATAAAGAAAAAGGAACTAAAGTTTGATTTTGTGTATGTATAGGTCATACCTCGGGAAGGTTAAGCACTCCGCTGCCGCACTGTGAGTAATAGTACTATAAATGTACATTATTTTCCGTTAATAATTATTATTATTAACATTTTGTTCTCCGTGGTCAATTAAGTTAACATGTACGTGGAGTGAGAATTCGTGTGAACTTATGTAAACATTGAAGGATTTGGCATACACCGTTATGATACAGATATCTACCTAGAGTGAATCATCAAAACGAATAATTGGATAAAACTACGGGTTGTTTTGTACGTTAATAACCGTTGTGAAAATATGTTAAATATCAGATTAACCTCTGAATGACTCAATCCGAAGAAAGAATTGAATATCAATAACACGATTATGTGACTCGCGTTATGATGTGAATGGCTCCACTCTTATTAATGTAGTGGAGCATTTACCTTCTGTTCATCGTTAATATTATTGTTCTGTTATTGTGGGACAATTATGTCACCTTATGAGAAACCATGGGAAAATCTAAGAGCATTATTGGGTACTACGTTCTGTTTATTGTTGATAATGGATACCAACACACTGTTATCTGTAAGTCAGTTGTATGGATTCATGACGAACAAGTGGAACGCAAGTGCATTACGAGACTACGGTATCTACTTATCTCTAGACTCGTTTAATCTGTAATATGCTCTTATCTTCATTAGTAAATATCTGTAGCACTCAATTAAACGTAAATTAGTTATGTTGACTCATGTGAATGAATGAAAGAACCTGTATGTCTCTGTATAACTCCGGGACTAGTCCACTCTAATGATTTCTGGTATGGAGCGAAGTGCTGTACGAAACTAAGTGTTGCAAAGTGTGTCACCTCTAGAATCCGTACGAGCCACCTCTTGAGTCCATACATATGTGAACTGGGCTTAAAGCCGATGTGAAAGTTATGAGGCCTGCGGCCATTTTGTGAAAGTTATGAGGCCTATGGCCATTCTGTGAAAGTTATGAGGCCTATGGCCATTGTGTATGATTTGTTAGTATGAAACAAAGTGCTGTACGGAACTAAGTGCTGCAATGCGAGTCACCTCTAGAATCCGTACGAGCCACCTCTTGAGTTCATACACGCATGATAAGGGCTTTATGCCGTTTTGATAAGGGCTTTATGCCGTTCTGATAAGGGTTTTATCTCGTTCTGTTAAGGGCTTCATGCCATTCTGTAGAAGGGCTTAATGCCACTCCGTTCAAGGGCTTAAAGCCATTATGTTTAAAGACTAGGCCTAAGGCCGTTTTGGAATTAATGCATAATCAAATTAACCATATGCCCTCTCTATTTCTATACGCACTGATATGTATTATAATTCAAGATGAGCATTAAATTGTTTATGTACTATTATGAAACTTAATTGAAAACTAATGAAAGATAATTACTTATATATGTGTTATTATTTAATGAATATGATGGATGGTTTAATATCTTTTGTTTATAGACATTACAAGAATGTATTAAATAAGAGTAATTACCCCTATCATAGAAAGAAGCAAGTATTATAAATGCATTGTATTAAATAATATATTTTTTCTTATTGTGATTGAAATACCTTCTTCTTTTTTTTTATAATAAATTTATCTTTATTATTATTACTATTTTTAAGGGTTTGGCTTATTTTAAGTTGGTCATCTCAACTTGAGAGAACATTTAGGCTTAATATGCCCATTTTGTGACCAATACAAGATCGTTGTCTTATTCCTACTGGAATAGCATTACAAATCCCATTTGGCATGTATGGAAGAATTGCACCTAGATCCGGATTAGCTCTTGAACATGGAATCCATGTACATTAGATGGTGCGAGGCAGAAATGAAGAGGTTACGGGAGGAGGCACTGCAATACATTCCAACCATTTTTTTTTAAAATCGTAGACCAAAATATTCATACAATAAATTAAGATAATTAGACATCAATAACTATATGTTTGAATGAAATTTGTATTATAAAACATGAATGATTATTTTTAAAATTATATTTGTCATCTATTTTTTAGATTTTCTTATTCTTTTTAATTTTTTTTTGCTATTTATTATTTTCATTCCTTTTATTTTAAAATTCTATTTTTTAATGTTTTAAATTATGTAATTACATGATGTGTGATTGCCTTAGAAAGCCAGGCAAAAATGTGGTATCAACACTATTCATAACACAATCCTCATCTATCGCAATCCAATCGTAAAATGGGTTATGTGGGTTTGGTAGATGGTTGTTCTTGCAGGTGGTGGAATGGAAGGTGAGAGAAAAAGATGAATGTTTGAGTTTGGCCAAAATTAAAGCTAGTTTGATTGGCTAGTGGTTGCGGTTCCACTAGGTGTTTAATCTGTGGTGTTTTATAAGGTAGATTGGTGGTGGTAGTGGTCGATTATTAGCCTTTGCTTTGATGGTAGCTTCTATGTTTTGTGGTGATGGTTATACTTTAGTTGCAACGAGAGAGAGAGAGGGAGAGATAAAAAAAATATAAAATATAAAATATGTAAAAATAATATGAGTATAATAGTAATTTCACCATATTATGTAATTTTGTAAACTGAGAAGGGGTGTTAATATGATTTCAAAAAATAAAGGGGTGATAGTGTGATTTCAGACAAACCAAGGGGGTGTTTGTATAATTTGCCAACAAAAAAAAATGGCTTTCTTAACAACCATAGTACCACGTCATCGATCCGTGTATTCCATGGAGAAAACACAACCCTTAGATTCTCACCCACAAAAACAACCCCTAACCGTTGGATGAACTCTCAAAGACTCATCCCTTCTCTTTTTGCTGGATCCGAACCCTTGTAACCCCGACCTTTTAAATCTCTTCCCACCCCCTTGCCGTTTCTGCATCTGCCTCTCTCTTCTCTACAGTCTCCCTCTGTCTGTCTCTCTCTCTCTCTCTTAACTTATGGCAGCTTTTGAGGCCAGTAGTAATCCCCCACTTCAACCTCCGTCAGCTACTGCTTCCACTCTCCCCCAGTACCCTGAGGTAAAACAACAAAATGTATTTTCTTTGCGTTCATTTTCTCGCTATCCAAACAGTATTTTCTGCCACGATCTACCTTGATTTGAGTTGGGTAATTGGGTTTCCACTAATTTTAGATTTTTTTGGGTTCCTTTTGCAGATGATTTTGGCTGCCATCGAAGCTCTGGATGACAAGAACGGCTCGAACAAGTCTGCAATCTCGAAGCACATCGAAGACACCTACGGCGAGCTTCCTCCCGCTCACACGACTCTCCTCTCTCACCATTTGAACAAGATGAAGCAGAGCGGTCAGCTCGTCATGGTGAAGAACAACTACATGAAGCTTGACCCCAACTCGCCGCCGCCACGCGGCCGTGGTCGGCCACCGAAGCCCAAGTCGGATCTCCCGCCGGACGCCGTGGCTTCGCCGCCGCGACCCAGAGGCCGCCCACCCAAGTCCAGAGACCCCTCGGATCCACCCCCTCCGCCCAAGATCAAGACGCCGTCTCCCGGCAGCGGTCGTCCCCGTGGGAGGCCGCCGAAGAAGGCGAAGACTGGTGGTGGTGCGCCGCCGCCGCCGCTGACGGCGAGTGGGCCACTGACGGCGAGTGGGTCGCCTAGGGGTAGAGGACGACCTCCCAAGGTGAAGACGGCAGTGGCGACTCCAGTAGGGTGCTGATTGAAATAAAAGAATAGGGTTAGGGGTCTTAGTGCTAATTGTTGTTGTTTTTTCACTTTATTTTTTTTTTATTTGTCTTTTACAATTCTTTAGACCTTTTACTTTATGGTATTTGTGGTGAGAGTGTTGTAAGGTTTAATGTTAGGTTGAGAGTTGGGTTTGAGGGACTTACTAGTGTCTGTAATTGCAATGTAAATTTATGCCAGTGGATGATGAAGCTTTATGGCTTCTTTTTATCACTCTTTTTCTAGAAAAAATGAAAACAATTTGAGATAGATTCCTCTTTATTTATGCTTTTGCTTTTTGTGATTTGTTCCCAATTTGAAATGAAAATGTGTTGGAACATGAGTTCTTTACATATTTGTAGCTTATTGTTGGTGTGGAATCTTGTTTGGTTGGCACCAGTGGCTTGTAAGGGTTTTGTAGATTTGAATTTTGCCCATCTGTTGCTAACGAGAAATCATTGAGTGCACCACATTATCATTGACAGGTGTTGATCAACACTAATAGAAAGTTGCCACTGCAGAATTATGGCAGAAAGAGAGCTTATCAACGTCTGACCAGTTTAAAGTATAGTTCAACGGTGCCAACTTTGAGTGGTGAAAAACTAGTTTTTTAACTTTACATATTCCCGCCAAATCGAAAAGAAGAAAACAAACTTTTCATATTCCCGCTTAACAGTTAGCATTTGAAATTTAAAACTTCAATTTTTTTTTCATTGTTTTTAATTATTAGTATTATTTTTTTTATAAGCTTTTGGTTCATAAATTCAATTTTAGATATTCCTTTTTTAAAGGTCTTGGCTTTAAAAAATTTATACAAACTTCTACATAATAATTAAATTATCCACACATATATATATATATATATATCACTCTCATAATAATTAAATTATCCACACATATATATATATATATATATCACTCTCCCTTTATCATTTCTCTCTTCGCCTTTATCGTCAACGATCTACCTCTACCACTGGCGATCCCCTTCCTCTATTCTATTGCTGTCGTTCTTGTTTTGTGGGAAAACTCATCATTGCCCAAAATCCTAGCCTACTCTCCTATAAACCTCTTATCCATTTCTATCTCTGTTATCTTCCATATTTTTTTAGGATTGAGTAAGGAATTTGTGAAATTTATAATTTGATCTGGTTCAGTTAAATTCGTTAAGTTTGAATTGATTTTTTGAATCTGTGGTTCAATTTTAAATTAAAAAATTAAAAATCCGTAATCATGGATCGGTTCTAGATTGAACCCTATGATTTTAGATTGGGACCGATCCAGACCGTATACAAATAGTTTATATTTATATTATATTCTTTTTCGCATAATATCTTCTCTTATTTTATATAAAACTTAAACTTGCGTAGTATCTTTTTTTATTGCTTTTGTTTGTTGATTTTTAGTTTTAATTTGTAATGATCAAAATACTTATAATAAAACTAATTTTCTTATAATTGTTTAAATACTAAAATAATATGTCGCTATTATAGAAAGACATATTGCTATTGTGGAACTAATATGATGTTATGTTCATATTTTTATGAAATTAAAATGTTCTATATTTTTTTTTTTATTTAATTATGTGAATCTGTGGTCTTAAACCGATCTAATCTGTGTTTAAATGGATTGGTTCCAATTTTTCAAGAACCGTAAATAACGGATTGGTCCTGGTTTTACCTAAATTCGGATCAATTTGGACTATGCTCATCCCTAACCTTTCTTCCAGATCCATCTACACCGTTCGATGTACTCTTGAGATGAAGCGCTTGGTGTCTGTCATGGAGATCCTCAAGACCTACTTTAAGCAACGTTTTCACCACCAAGACGACATTGCTCATCTCTGTCATTAAAGACGGACCTAAGGCTGGGCATAGGTGGTTGCAGCCTAGCCCAAAAAGTAAAAAATATGTAGAAATTTTTTTTCCCAAACCAGCCTAACCCAGCCTCCTGACCTTTTCCAGTCCAACCCCAAATAAGGGCTAATAGTTTTTTTGTTTGTTTTTTAGATAGGCAGTCCAATACTTATCCAAAAAAAATACATAGGTAGCCCAATAGGTTTGTATTTGTTTAAAGAACAAATCTTCCAAAACAATCTTTACATCTTCCAATAGATAGGTAGCGACCCTTTTTCCGTTGTATGAAGCAGTTTGTAGCAGCTCCACTTTCCTAACATTTTTTGTAAGTGTAATTAACCAATTATTTTATTTCGTTGGTTGAGAATGGATTTGATTAACAATGGTTTTGAAATTTTGTCTTTATGCAACAGATAGTATATTACTCTTAGTTTTTTTATGATGCTACCTTGTTGAATGTTCTATATTGTTCTTAGTTTTTGAACTTCGAATGAGTTTTTTTGGACATATATAAAAATAATGAAAGCCTAAATAAAAATTATTGAGGATATATATTAAAAACCCTAGTAGTTAAAATTATTGCGAATATACTCTGGTTTAATATTAAATAGAGCTACTTTTTTTTTTTAATTTTTTTTTCAGGTTATAAATAATGGAACCTCCACCACTAATAAAAGGCAAAACTCTTTTCTCATTCTATCAATCAAAACAGAAGTCTAGTAGTATAATATCCTATGTTGTTAAAACCTCATTTTCTAATGTGCGGTTTTCATGCCTCAAGCAAATAAACCAAGCGAATTTGATTCAACTGTTATTGAACGGGATCCTAGTTTACGCTTGCAAATTTTTGAATATTCGGTTAATCAACAAGATGAGGTTAGACGAGCTTATGTGAACTTGGGGCCTTATCAATCTAAACTTGAGTATCCTGGGTTCTCATTTGGAAAACAGAATCGCCGATTCCTACATATTTGGTTTAAACAATTTTCTTGGTTAGGGTATTCTCCTTCAAAGGATAAAGCATATTATTTTTCATGCGCGTTTGTTGATGAGGGCTTTAACAATTGGAAGAGAGTAAATGATGGATCCAAATGTATTTTTTTGCTTCATGTTGGACTTGCATCTTCATCGCATAGTCATTGTGTTATTAGTCACGACAATTTAAAGAAATCTTCCCAACACATTGAAAAAGTGTTGAATGCGCAATCAAAAGAAGAGATTTTGAAAAATCGAATGCGGGTAAAGGCAACAATTGAAACCATTCAAGTACTTTCTCTTCAAGGACTTGGTTTTAGGGGTCATGATGAAAGCTCGACTTCATTGAATCAAGGTAATCTAATTGAATTATTAAAGTTCAAGGTGAGAGGGAATGATGCACTTGAGAGCATTATATTAAAGAATGCTCCACAAAATGCCAAATACACTTCTCTGAGGATCTAAAAGGAGATTTTGCATATACTTGCTAACAGAGTTAGAAATATGATTTTTGATGAAGTTGTAGGAGGTTATTTTTGTATTCTTGTTGATGAATCCCAAGACAAGTCTAAAAAAGAACAAATGGCACTTATTTTGAGATACATCAAGAATGATGGTTTGCTAGGGGAACGGTTCTTTGATATTGTGGGTGTCGGAAATACATCTACATTGACTCTTAAAAAAGAGATATCAACTATCTTTTCTCGATTTAATCTTCCTATTCAAAACATGTGTCATCAAGGATATGATGGTGCTAGCAATATGCGTGGCGAATAGAATGGACTTCAAGATTTATTTCTTAAAGATTGCCCATATGCATATTATGTACATTGCTTTGCACATCGTCTGCAATTGGCTTTATTTCTTGATTTAATCTCCCTATTCAAAACATGTGTCATCAAGGATATGATGGTGCTAGCAATATGCGTGGCGAATGGAATGGACTTCAAGCTTTATTTCTTAAAGATTGCCCATATGCATATTATGTACATTGCTTTGCACATCGTCTGCAATTGGCATTAATCGCAGCAGCAAAAGATAAGCCTAATGTTTGGCAATTTTTTTCTCACTTGAGTCGTATTGTCAATCTTATTGCTTTTTCTCCAAAGCGCCTTGGTGCGTTAAAATCTTTTCATAGGAGTGAGGTTTAAAATATGCTGGCTAGTGGTGAGCATCAATCTGGTAAAGGGGCCAATCAAATTGGTACCTTGTGTTACACAGGAAAGCAACCTAAGAGGAAGGTGAATTGGGTAATTAAAATTTTTGAACAGAAAGTAAATTTTAAAGAACTAAGTGAATAAATGCGCCAGGTATTTAATATACAAAAAATAGAGAAGAGGAAAAGAAGAGCTCAACACCAAGATTTATAGTGGTTTGGCTCACCGGCCTACGTCCACTCTTCAAGGTACCTCTTTGAGAATTTCTTCACTATGAATCAATGCACCCCCAAGCTTCACATAGCTTGTGGATTTTTACAAAGGACTTACTTCAATCTGTTGAGAACCTCTCAACTAAAATGCCTCACTTTATAAGTGTTTCACTCAGAAAATAAGAATAAGAGTAAGAGGTACAACTGTCTTTTTTTACAAACTTTTCTCTCTCAAAAGATGGATATGAAAGTGTAAGCTCATAGGCAATTTAAGACTCACTCAGATATTAAAGTGGAAGCATAATGGAGTATATTAAAAGCTTTGGAATGGTCTTGAATGCATTGGGTTTCTTATATTCGAGAAGAAGCGTTGATTGAACAAGGAGAGCTTCATCTTTATAGCATTAATGGCTTCTAGCTGTTGGAGAGAGGAGATTTGAATCTTCTAGCCGTTGGAGCAAATCATGGAGGATATCTTCTAGTTGTGTTTGATAAGAGTATGGTGAATGCAGACTGTAGGCAAGTCTTGGGAAGAGAAGGTTCATTAATTGCACAAGCTTTTATTTAATGCTCAACCTCATAAGTCAACTTCTTGGAGAAGATATGGTGCTCGAAGATCTGCTCAGGGGTTAGAAAAGATGACACATTCTGCACAAAAATCTAAAAAAGTGGTTGAGAAAAGGGCTGTGTCAGTCCAGATCTGATTTGGCAGCTGGATTTTTGAAACTTAGAGTGTCGACCCTTGTAGATTGGGTGTGGACCTTTTGCTCTTTTCTCTTCTCTGAGTTGAGTTTCAGGTGTTCCTGGTGTCGACCCTTATCATTCTTGGTGTCAACCCTTGCTGCTGGATTGTATTCTAAAATTTAGTGTCAACCCTTGTTGTTTTTGGTGTCGACCCTTATTGCTGGGTTGCATACTAAAATTTAGTGTCGACCCTTGCAGCTAGATTGCATTATGAAATTTAGTGTTGATCTTTGTTGTGCTGTTGTCGACCCTTGAAGTTGGAACACTTAGGCATTGTAATCTTTATTCTGGTGTCGACCCTTGCTATCTTGGTGTCAACCCTTGGACCTATTTTAAGCATG